TGATAGCGCGTTATAGGTTAATAAAGGCAAACGCAGTGTAGGACGACCACTAGATGGAGTAACGATTTGAAATGCATTGCAGGGAGTCAGTGGATGCAGGTGGCTCAGGACCGTTCTTTATTGCGGTCTATGAGGGAGACTTATGTCCAGAAGTGGACGAATAATGGCTGAAATCATGATGATGAATATAGGTCAGTAATCGAATAGATCCTATGCTATCCGATTATTGACCTATTTTTTTTTTTATTATATAAACATTATAAAAATAGTATTGTTGTGATGTCTTTTGACATTCTTACTTTTATTATTCAAAATTTATAACACGAATGGGCACCTCTGTCACATTCGTGTTTCTAGCATGAAGCAATTGTGTTTGCATGGCTTTGTTTCGGTTCGAAGGGTGGGTGGGATATGGCAGTGAATTTACAGTGTAAAGAGGAATAATACCTGAATCCTCAGGAATGGTGACGTATGGGGTATATCATGGGCGAACTAGTATATTCTGTTATGTCCATGGTACTGCTCATATCTATGGACGATGGCTACCACTTTCCATCAGGTGGGCCGTCACCTTGTTTGCCATTCTAAGTTGCATAAAAAAAGTTCTATAAGATTTCGATTAAATTTAACAATATTTCAATGCTTTGTTTTAGAGACTTGAACTACTGACCATAATAATGTTGTACTAAAACATCGAAACTGGCGTGTCAATAGGTGTGTCGTGTACAGGAGCGGCAACCGCAATCCGACACTATAATGAACGACCTGGTGATAGTGCGTCCTTTGCGTATACAACCATCGTGAAATAAAAAAAAAAAATTAAAAGGAAAGTAATTTAAATAAAGAACAACTGGTGAGTAAAGCTTTTCTTATTTATATTATAAAAGAATAAAAAACAATTTGAACTGAGAACAACCAGTGAGCCAGACTATTTTAATTACATCATTGATCACGTCCATTGTTTACAAATTATGTATTTGAATTTTATAATATATTTTTCTATTAAAGACCTTATTGTTAATATTCGAACAAGTAATCACAAATATCTAATTTTATATTTAGTTATTAAAATAAGTGACGCATACAAATATAGCCATACATAAAATGAATAATATTACACTACCTAGTAACCATACTAATTAATCTTAGATTATATAGACATAGAGTCTCTGTACAAGTGATTCATTAAAATAAGGCCAATATTTATTTATGTGTGCGTAAATAGGGTTACCATAATGTGCATTTACTTCTATATATAAGGGAGAAATTATATTATGGTTAAATTGAAAAATAAATTTTTACAAATATATTTGAAAGAACAAAATGAACAAACCATAATGATTCGTACTGACGCTTGTCTTTACTGATAATTACAGTTAATATCCAAATAATAAATAGTATACAAGATAGATTTTCGTTTTTAAATTATTGAAAAATACTTCCATTTTAATTGATATGTATATTAAGTTACAATCAACATGTATATATGTATATTTACAATTAAGCAATAAATAAATAATAGATTTTTTTAATTTAATTTTGGAAATATTATCCTTTATATTTCCAAAATTAAATTTAAAAAATCTATGATATGGAAATTTTTAATCCAATTACTTGTAACACAGGCAAAAGCGCGTTTAGTTTTGATTAACTGTCCGCTGCTGAACATAAGCCTCCCCCTTGTGGGTTTCCCAGTAGTTGCCACGTTTGGCAAGCGGATTGGCAACCGCAGCCAGACTTTAGAGATGTTTTAGGAGAGACGCTGCTGGAGGACAAGGGATGGCTTTCAACCTTAAGTTCCCTTAGTCGCCTCTTACGACACCCACGGGAAAGGAAGGGTTGGCCTATTCTATGCCGGGACCACGCGTCCATAGTAGTTTTAATTACTGCCAGTTAATTCCATATCGGTTATTTTTTAATGACGTGAACGTGACAGTTAAAAAAAAATATCTTAAAAAAATATTCATTAGAAGTTGTTAACGGCAATTACTAATTTCATTACGATAGATGATAATTAACAAATTTTAGTAATAATAATAATAAATTATTTGTATTCAAGTAAACTTAATAATTACTATATTTGAATCGTCATTTTTGTATGAATCTACCGCCCAATACGGAATGTATATATATATATATATATATATATATATATATAGAAAACAAAAAGTTACAAAGCTATAAACATTCACAGTGTTTTTGGTTGATTAATTATCACTAACTATTATGTCATTAGTGTTAATTTAATTAACTTCTCTGAGTACTGCAGTTAATGATTAAATATTATTTAGTTAGAACAATCATGTTTACTAGAGGACGACTTTGTACAAAAAAATAATATGTTTCTCCAAAGCAGTTGTGTTTGCATGGCTGTATTTTGTAAATACATGTAAATGAGTTCTATATGATGTATCATAAAGTACTCTGTTATGTCCAATATATCTAATATGTAGCTTGTTTGCCATTCTAATTGCGTTAACAAAAAAAAGTTCATTTGTATTTTTATGTTCTAAAATCTATAAAGTTTTATAGTAAAATAATATTACTTCAAACACTTTTTTATTTTTAATAACATACACTTTCTTTTGCTTGTATATAAAATGACCTTATAAATGTTCTTTTAGTAAATTTTCTAAACATCTCATAAACACCTGTGTAAAGCCAGATCAACTTTTTCGTGGTAACACTTATTATCGATAACATTAAATTCAATGCCACATTTTATCCGGATTGCATAAAATAATAAAAAAAAAACAAATTGAAACACATTTAGGACTTAAACAACTACGTATTTTTCCACAGCTCGATTATTCGAATTGTTTTAATCGGACCGGTTTTAATGCAAAGGTGTTATCAAAGGCACATTCACCAATGTAACATACTAACTCGCGACTTCACTTCGCGCGCTATATATATATATATATATATATATATATATATATATATATATATACTAGCTGACTCGGCAAACGTTGTTTTACCATATACATTATTTTGTACATGAAAAATTCAATTATTATATTATTCAATTATTTCATATAAAAATTTAAAAAAATTGATCAGATGTATTTTTCAATGCTAAACTATAATAAAATAAAAATAAAAAAAATTTTGGACAAAATAAAATATTTAGGGGTGGGTCACTCTTATCATTAGGGGATATGAAAAATATAGATGTTAGCCGATTCTATACAATATGCACACAAAATTTTTAAGCTTTGTCGGAGAATTTTATATATTGTATACTTTATCATCATATAACATTACATGTATTTACAAAATACCTCCTCGGAAAGCATATTATTTTTTTTCAAAACAGGAAAGATTATTAAATAACAGGAGGCAATTTTGTACAAAAATTCATTATTAAATTATTTCTTTTTAATTTCAGATTTTTTTTTGTAAAAAGAACGCAGCTTATACTGTTATGTCTTGCCAAAATGGATTCGATGTGTAATAATATAAGTTAATAATATAACTTATTTTTTTGCAATTATTTCTGCAATTTACAAGCATAATTGAATATTTTTTTTAATATTTCCAACTATTTTTAAAAAGTTACATGCCAGCGAACTAAAACAGTAATCATGCATTAATATTCATTTAAAGTGATCATTGAAAATTTAAATTTCGATGGTAAAAATGTATTTGAAAATATTTCCGAAGCAAAATATGATGTAAGTGTAAAGTTTTTGGTGGTAGATTTATATACAACATATTCTATGATTAACATTCTCTGTTCGGTAGCAGAGCACTTTTAAAACAATTAGTTAGAATAATTGAAAAATGTTCAATTTTTTTTTTAAATTGACAGATAATTGCGGTGTTGCCACGCTTCGTTGTGAACGCATTCATTTAAAACTTTTCGACTTCCATCTATACATCATGTACATACATGGAGATGGAAGTCGAAAAGTTTTTATACTATATTCGAAATTTAAATTTATTCAATAATAATAATAAGGTCACCTTTTGTATAATTTCTCATTAAAATATTACTCTATTTATTATTTTTATAAATGTTGCAAGTGTAAATAAATAAACTGCAAAGATATTATGCAAATTTGAATTTAAATAATTTGAAAATAAATAATACCTACTAAACTAAGAATCTATAATAATATAAGTATTAATTGTGTAGATAGACGAGAGTTAACTTTCGAAATGTAAATACATTGAACATTTTATGGATAAAATATTATTTTCATGAATAATCAACAGTTGCAATAAGAATGTAATTCCCACGGCTATTGTAATAAATTCTGTTATAAAATTGTCTACGCTCTTTACTTTGATTGATTTGAAATTTAATATGTACGAGTATTCATTGACAGAGTTTATTAGCCTTTTAACTTTTGTAACGATATTGGTCGCATGACTGAGATAATAATTAGCCTTTATCTAAAACAAAACAAATTCACTTTCACATTTATAACATAGTCTGTATGTGTCTCAGCATGGAATAGGCCACCCTTTTCTTTCCCGTGGGTGTCGTAAGAGGCGACTAAAGGAATTTAATGGTAGATAGAGGGATGGGCAGCATGGGTCCCTCTTAAAATATGTCTAAAACACTAATTGCGGTTGACAACCCGCCTATCAAATGTGGCAACTACTGGCAAAACTCCCCGTATGGGGAAGGCTTACGTCCAGCAGTGGACAGTTAACGGCTGAAATAATGATGACATTAGTAAGAATTAAACGAGAGAAATAGCAATTTTAATCGAATTACTTGCAACACAGAATTTTTTTTTAAATATGCAACAGCCACTCATTAGAGACTGGCCGTTTTTTAGAACATTTTAGATCTAAACAAGATCTTTTATAATTTCATTGTAGATATAGTTAGTGTTACGATGTTACTATGTGAATTTCATAATGCGATGTTCTGGTGAAGAAGTCATTGTAACAAATTGCATTTTAACTCCTTCACTAGGTACACGGCAAATACCAGTGTCTTTTTATTTGCGCACACGCAGCAATCGAGTTTAAGAAGGTACCGACCGACTACTCGTAAGCCGAAACAGCCATGTTGACACAAATGCTATCAAGCGCCGTTCCATGTTTGACGTACCGTAAAAATGTAATCCTATGAAAAAATAATACATAAAAATTAATAATAACTCTTTAAATATTTACATTGCCGTGACACTTTATAACCGTGTGTTAGGGTATATTTTTGAATGGCACACAAAGTGTTATAGACAGAACATGTTGTATAAAAATAATGATGCCAACTTCATTGCCTTTCGCGTGGTTCTAGTATTCAGAGCTGTGATATTGTATGCTTTAGAGAAACTGAGGAAAATGGTCTACACAGTGAAAACTACGGAAAGTGATCAGGGGCCATGTAAAGAGGTCAAGAGCGGGTCGATTTGGAAGGAGTTCGTCATATCATTTATAGGTAAGTACTTGCTTTTTATGTGTGTAGACGTATATTCATCAAGATATTTATTTATTTATTTATGCTTTATTGACCACATTACAAAAAAAAAATTATGGTATTTAGTTAATATTATATCTATTACATCTGTTATAAACAGGTATCATTTTTTTTATGTTTGTTTGTAACGAATAAACTGAAAAATTATATAGCCGATTTTAATTATTCTTTCACCTATACAAATGTACATTATCGTTGAATAACAATAGTTATATATTATTTAAAAAAAAAATATTAGAGATCTCTAGCAAATTTAAAATACACTATCGGGACTTAACGCGATAAAAAATTTTGCAGGTAAATAGTACCTACATACTTGCTTCTTTATTGACGACGTTTCAAAATTAACTTTTTCTACAAAATTTTCAATAATATAAACTAAAGTATTAAAAATTTGCCTAATAAATTCGTATATTTCTTAATATGTATGATTTATTATAAATAAAAAACAACGCCCAGACTAATATAAACAGATCGGTGGTGGGGGAGGGGATTATTAGTAATGCGGACTACTAGTTCCGTTGCTAGTAATATACCCCGTCAAGTCGACCTCCATGTGGTCTCCCTGTGTGTTTGTTACGATGGGCTGACTGACTTGCTTTTTCATTTTCACTTATCATCCATCACTGGTGGTCATTATTAAATGCGCTTTATTTTTAATACCGGTTTTAACTCTATCAGTGTGTTGTATATTTATAGTTTTTGATGGTTCAAGGACCAATTTTGCATGTAATTTGATAAAAAACGTCTCAAAAAACGATTAATGAGTGATGTTTTTTGCCAATACTTTTTTTATACAACTTAGAAAGGTAAACAAGCTGACGGCTCACCTGATGGAAAGTGGTAACCGACGTCTACAGACATGAGCAGTACTATGGACATAAAAGAGTATACTGTTTCGACCCTGATACCCCTCATGCGTTGCCATTCCTGAGGACTCAGGTGTTATTCCTCTGTACCCTGTAAATTCACTGCCATATCCCACATTTCAAACCGAAACACAGCCATGCAAACATAACTGCTTCACGGTAGAAACACGATTGGGACAGAGGTACCCAAACAAACGACTTATGTACAAAATTTCAGATTATATTATATAAATCTAGAATATAAATATACAGAGGATACATATCAATTATATCAGCCGTTTATTGTCCACTGCTGGTTTTGCCAGTAGTTGCCACGTTTGGCAGGCTGGTTAGCAACGCAGTTAGGCTTTGGTGATGTTTTGAAAGGGACGCTGTTAGCCATCCCTCGAGCATTAATTTCCCTGAGTCGCCTTTTACTACTATATAATATATCTATGCAAATTATAATTTCACAACGAGATTGCTAGGTAGTTCTAACTGTCAGAAAAGAGCGCTGTGTGTATTTTGCACTTTCTCTCACATATCGGCTTTGAAAGCATCCGACAAGTAAACAAACTACTGGTTTTATATGTTGGTCGATTCAAATAAAAAAAAACATACCAAATAAATAAAATAAAATTATTTGAAAAATTTGTTTTTTTTTTGATGATTATGGAATGATGAATGGAATAAACGGCGCTAACAGTATACGCTGACGGAGCACCAGTGACAGATAATAGGTGAGAATGAAAGCAGGTCAGTTAACCTGCGGTGATAAATACACTTGGAATTCAGCACGATCGTTTCCAGGGCTACTGGAGGTCGACCTACTAGTAGGTCGAATTATTAACAATCTCTTCCACACAAAAAAAAGAGTTTAAAAGGAGAAAGTAGATGATTATTTACTAGAAAGAAACTGCACGTAAATCATCTCCGGTGCGATGTTGCTAGCTCTGTCCCACTTGTGTTTCTGCCGTAAAGCAGCTGTGTTATATGGTATAGTTTTAGTTCGGAAATTGCAATATAGGAGTCAAATAACGTTAAGAAAAAATAGTATAAAAATTTTTCTTCAAAATGGAAAAATGTATGATGTTTTTTTTATACAACTTAGAATGGCAGACAAGACGGCCCACCTGATGGAAAGGGGTAACCGCCGCCTATAGACATGAGCAGTACCATGGACATAACAGAGTATACTGTTTCGTCCATGATATCCCCATGCGTTATCATTCCTGAGGACTCATATGTTATTCTTCTGTACCCTGTAAATTCACGCCATATCCCACCCTTCAAACACAGCCATGCAAACACAACTGTTTCACGATAGAAACACGAATGGGACAGAGGTACGCAAGAAATTAACTTTTGTACAAACTCTCCCTTTGGTAAAACTCCTCGGGTCATTTTATCATTACAATATACTTCCGAGATGGTAGGTACTATAGGTGAATGTTACCTCTTTCCATTAGGTGAGCCGTCAGCTTGTTTGCCATTATAAGATTCATTAAAAAAGTTTAAAAAAAAATCTAGCTTCGTCTATTTTCTGAAATCACCTCTTACTCGTACAGTTAACCCAATTTTGGAAACTTCGAAATGTCCCCTTAAATCTGTTCGCAGCAGGATTTCGTCGAAGCCTCGTTTTCTGTAACTTAATTGGATACATGTTTACGTTAATTTGAGAAGTAAGTTTATAATTTTATTAGGGTAGGATTATGGCAGGGATATGTGCGTTTCCCAAATTAAATTAAATTGTATGCTTTATTACATTTATTGGTTGTAAAATCATAATATTATTGCGAGACGTTGAAAGCCAACTCACTTGTTCAATATGGCGTTCACCGCCACTTGCTATCATCGTACTGCTCGCCATCGACAGGGAGTTCACCTTTATACTTTAGAGCCTTGATGGTCACACACAACGCGGTTTCAGAGATGTTTCCTCCCACAAACGCTCAGATTGTGGAATGAGCTCCCTGTTTAGGTTTTTTCAAAAAACAAGAGCATAGGATTGGTCACAATTGAAGTCGGTATTTTTGGGACACAATCTTTAATTATATCTAGTTATATTAAGAGATACCGAGACGAAAAAAAGCGATTGTCAATTTTAAGTATTTTATCGTTTACAAATTCAATTGTGAGTGACAATCTCAATTGATGAATTTTAATTGAAATTTATTGACGTGCCTAGTAAATTTACCAAATGGTCATTTTATTACGTCATCGACAATCGCTTCGGTCATTTACACCGTTAGATTCAGGTAAAAGTATTGACGATTCTATATTCAAATTAAAATCATCTTTATTAAAATAGACTTATTTACAAGCACTTTTAAATCGTATTTTTTTTTAATTTACTGGAGAATTTCGAAGGTTATCTGTTGAGAACAGCCTGCAAGAAACTCAACAATTACTCTTTTAAATCTCTGTTAATGTTATGTGTATTTATTTAAATGTACTGTCTACTTTTTATGCAACTTAGAATTGCAAACAAGCTGACAGCCCATCTCATGGAAAGTGGTAACGAGTACCGTCGTCTATAGACATGAGCAGTACCATGGACATAACAGAGTATACTGTTTCGCCCACGATACCCCTCATGCGTTGCCATTCCTGAGAACTCAGGTGTTATTCCTCTGTATCCTGTAAATTCACTGCCATATCCCACCTTTCAAACCAAAACACAGCCATGCAAACAAAACTGCTTCAGGGTTGAAACACGAATAGGACAGAGGTGCCAAAGCAAACGACTTTTGTACAAAGTCTCCCTCTGGCTTGAATTTAAAGTGAATTAAAAGCCCATGAATGATCGACTAATACCGTGTACGAGTACATTTGCCATTTAATATATATAGTATATATACATTATGCACTAATACACTAGAAACGTAATCACAAAAACGAGACAAGGAAACGGTTACATTAGTGTGCGTGTTTTGTAAATGTCTGCTTTTGACAGATCACAAATTGTATAGAATTGAAGTTACAAAAGTAACAAGAATTAACTTATTTATTATAATTTTAATTTTGATTCGTGGAAGTTAAGAGCTGTATTTGGATTAAATTTGATATTTTTTTTCTATCAAAGGTCGTACAAAATATTTTTTGATAGCTATATAATATTGCGTTTAAAAATATAAACGATTACAGCGTAATTACGTGATTTTTTTACAATTCTGTGGTTTTTTATTTAATTTATTTTATATTTAGCAAGACCACATTTAACACTTATCAACTACATGTATGTAAAATTTTACTTCGAAATTCACTTCGAAAACACTTCGAAATTCAAAAGTATTAATAATTTATTTTTTTCATAATCTCGCTAAATCAGCTTCGAGCTTATATTGTGCGAATGCATGTCTTACTTGTCTGTCTCGCTCTAACATATGTTATTATATTTTCTCTCCCTTGCATTGAATAGGCTACTCCCTCTTTACTCGTGGGTGTCGTAAGAGATGGCTAAACATGGCAAACTACTAGCAAAACTCCACTTAATGACAAAGTAAAGGACTGCCTATTGCTGCCTATTGATGATGAATTTTTGACAATTATTAGTTATTTTGTTGCTTCATATATATATATATATATATATATATATATATTTTTTTTTATATATATATTTTTTTTTTTTTTTTTTTTTTCTTTATTTTGTTATATTTTATATATCTTCTTGTTACTTATAAAAAATATTCAACACAATGTAGTATTGTATACCCAGTCCTTTCCGCAACTGCAGTGTCTCCCCATTTCCTTTCCTTTCCCACATAAGTCCCTTATTCCTCTCATTGATCAATTTCCTTTACGCTTTTCCAACCTTACTTTTTTCCTCAAATCTTTCCTCCATACCGTAGGTGGCGGAAACCTCCAACAAATGTATTCCCAAAGAGGGTTGACGTCAGGCAGGTGGCCGGTCGTAAAACTAAAAAACCAAATCTTTTTGTATTATGGATAAAATCATATTACGCCGACCCCAAATGATTGGGATAAGGGTAGGAAGATGATGTGGTATTGTAGCGAATAAATAAATTGAATTGAATTGATCATAGGATCAGCAGTGAACGGTTAACAGCTAATATGGTTATGATTGTGACATTGCTAATCTAAAGATGTATT